GGTTCTAATTCACTTACACACATCACGGCACTTATGCCTTTCAAGACCCCGTGTGACCCGTGAGAAATGCACTAGCTCCATTTCTTAGTCAGCCCGAGGTCACGTTCATGGCAGGACCAGACTTGAACCCGGGAAGCAGGGGAGGGGAGCTCTGAGTTTCCCTGAGAGCTGGTTTAGAATATCTGCACTCACGGATGATACTGGGGATTTTCCGGCAATAAAATCCCCACTGGTCAACATACGGACGGCACAAATGACTGTTTTTCTTACATGGGGTACATCTTAGAAGATGTCATCCTGTGATACTCCACATGACGCCTCCTAAAAAGCATGGCTACAGTGAGCAAGCAACATCTCTCAGAATCATTTGCTCACAGAATGTCTCCTCCCAGACACGAGTCACCGCGCCAGATTTCTAGGGAACAGACTTACTCCATGATAGAGTGACTCATAGGCTCACCTCTACCCCTCACCGCCAAGGGCACAGGATACCAGGTGATCGAAACAAATAGCTGCCTCAACACGGTGACTGTTCGTGCGTGCAGGTCTCAAGGTCAAGAGGGCGTCTTTAAAAATTCACTTTTTTTGTGTGTGTGCTAGCAATGGAGACACGAAAGCATCACCCACCCACTCCTTACAAAACAACCCCATTTGGGTGACAGCTGCACATAAGGCCATCTGCTTTTCATTGCCATGGCTGTCCCGATACCTAGCTCTTGATGATATTGACCGTCCTCCATCATTTGTGTCAACATTGCTCTCCCACGCATCTCCGCTCCAAGCTGGCAGGTCCCCAGCCAACACCTCCCAGAGGAGCCGAGTGTCACAAGGAGGGGGAACACNTTTTTCTTCTTTTTTTTTTTTCCTGGAAAGTGCTATCTTTACTTTAAAGATGCTACAGGCAGCTCTTAATTCAATTCAGGGAAACAAATAATCCTCGATTGCCCATGGCACCCAAGAGGCGCTGCGTCATCAGAGGCAACGACTACAGGTTTTCTTTCCTCCAGTCCGTGAATGAGACACTTTTGGTTCATTTTCCCGAATACTTACCCACCATCCAATCCATCTCTTCGACGTTGTCACCGTACCGTCCGTGTTTACTGTGCCCCACAAACTTCTCCTGGGTGGTCAGTGGCGTGTGGACGTGCAGAAAACAAAAAAGCAGCAGGAAAGGCCCATGTTTATACCTAAGGGGCAGAGGGGCACCTGAGTTACCTTCGTCAGCAAAGGCGCTTTTTCCCCCCACTTGGATATTATTCTGCCTCCATGGAAAGATCTCATAAGCGTTGGCAGAGGCTTCTACGTATTTACGTGACTATGATCCACCATTGGAGCAACACATACCACAGCTAGACTTATGCAGAAAGGATGTGAGGGAGAAAAAAGAATAACGGAAAATTTGTATTAGCATCAATGCAGGTGGGGGACTCTCTCATTTGATCTCTTGCATCCAGGGTACCATGGGACATAAAGGAGTGGCTTAATGCATCTTTTTAATCTCGGTTGAGTGAATAGGTGACTGAACGAATGCGTGAATGAAACCCATGTCAATTCTCTCCATCTGTTTTCTGAGAATGCTTTCTCATCACGCACACCCCAACATGTAACTGGACACACGGCTGCCATGAACACAGGCTGCTTATATGTAGGAGTGTCCGTGTGAACAGCTACCAACCCAGGGAGACAAGGGGCATGTCAGTAAAAAGATAGCATGTCTCCGAAAGGAAGGGTTCCGGTACAGTTCTTCTTCTCCTTCCTTTGTGCTGCCTGGAACATAAGTGTGATGGCTGGAGCTTTGGCATCCACTTTGGGCTACGAGGCTGCTCCTGCAGAATTTTGAAACAGAGCGAGCTAGAAGGAGCTAGGGTTAAGCAAAGAGTGAATGTGATAGTCACAAACGCTTGTGCGGGAATGAAGTCCCATTGCCTTCTCACGAATCCCATGGAGTTATACTGTGTCACCCTCATGCATGCCCCCACAGCCCCACGAGGAGAGCAGAAAAAGGGGGTCGATGAGCCTGCACACTGGGCACATCAAAATACCTCTCACGGGTCACCTGAAGTGAACAGGTGTGCCAAGGTCAGACAGCGTTTCATTCATGTGTGCGTGGCTTGCATTAAACGTATAAAACTTAAAACTGGATGTCACTACACAGACTCACTTCCTAATTGTGAACGCTTTTGTATTTTCAGGCGGTGTCTGGGGCAAAACAAAATCAAAATAAAGCTCAAAGAGTCCATCAAATTTGATGCTGACACACTGATGGATTAAAATGCCATAATTCCAGTTTTGTTTTTTTTCGTTTTGTTGAAGCAGCGAGCAAAATATGTTTCTTTGTATTTTCAGGGTTCGAAATTTGCAGGAAATGTTACCTATCCATTTTTTTGTATCTCCGTAGACATTTTAACATACCGCATCTATCTCACACACAGAGAAGGCCCATCTCATCCAGAGAGACCCAATTTCTCTGAAAGAACAACAACACGGCCATGCAGGAAGTCAGCCCAGCCTGGAGGGAACACCTGTCCTACCTGTCGATGAAGCTCAGGGCTTCCTTCAGCATGAGCATGGAGACTTGGTCTTCTCGCATCGGCTGCTGGAGGATTTCGTGGTTTCTCATCAGGACGCAGTTCCATCGCCGAGTGAAGCCGTAGCTGGCGTACCAGGACGCGAAAAACAGGAGGGCGAGCAGTGCGACGGTCACGATGACCGTCCAGGGGACCGCGAGCCAGCCGGCGAGCTTGGGGACAAGGAGCAGGAGAGAGGCGAGGCCGATGCCTGCCGTGGCCACGCAGAGCTGGACCCTGAGCCGGCTGTGCAGCTCCGGTGTCTCGGATGCTTGGCAGTCGCTCAGAAGGCCTAAGGGCAGCCCGTAGAAGTAGTCGAACCCGTGGTTCAGGGGGTGGTAACAGTGATCATCCCGGGACGCACAGCTCAGGCCTTGGTGCCACTTTCCTGCAAGGAACACAGGACAGGGACGGCGGCAGCACCAGCGCCACGCTGTTTCTGCAGTGTGGACATCCCTCTGTGACCACCAAGCGGGGACTTGGGCTTCCTGGCCAGGGTGGCATCTGCTCGGTGGCCCTGTCACCTCCCTGGAAATGCTAACAAGTCTACACAAGCCACCGGTGTGTCCTGCCCTACATGCTGCGACTTTCGGACTGGAACTGGGCGCGGAAACCCGTTTGCTCGCGGGAAGGACACGGCGCCAGGGCTGTCCTCAGAAGGAAATATATGCTGGGTACCTGGCCATTCCCCGGACCCTTAGAA